AGTGAAAGGGTTAAAGGTAACTGAAGCATTGGGAAATATACATCCCAGCCACAGTGAAAGGGTTAAAGGTAAAGACTGTGATAGTTCTTACATCAGAGAAACTAATGAACAGCTTCCAACAAGACTGAAACAACATATTTGAAAGCTCCCTCTCATGTATTTGAACACAGTTAAACATAATTAATTCTTTGATTTTTCAGATGTTGAAATCAATGACAAAGAAAACAAAAGAAAAATTAAGGAAGCTTTCTTTATTACAAAATGAAAACTGAAACTTCACAATAATGAATATATATTTATTCTAATTTTTGTTGTCCTTTTATTCTGATAAATGTACATAGGTTGAATTGTTATAAGATTCTATTTTAACCTTCCCACCTACTAATGCTAGGTAAACCTAGCAAAGCAAAGTGTTTAAAAAAAGAAAAGAGATTTTTGGTTATATTTACTTGTTTATTCAAAAACTGAATAAATAAATTTACTTTTTTTAATTCCTTGATTGCTCTAAAGTGTCACGTTGAATTATCTTTAGAAAAATGAGTTTTTGGCAAATCAGTTTCACACCCTTAAACTCTAAAGTAAATACTCTCGAATCTTTATTTTCTCCATTCCGCTGTTTTGTCAAATGAAATGATTCCTATAATAATAATATCATTGGAAAGTAAATAAAAAATGAAATAATTCATTTTACTGAAATTTGGCAAATTATATGTGTAGCATATTCATGTAGCTTTCTTAACACCAGCCACACGAGCCAGCTCAGCATCTTGATGTGAATCAGAAGAAAAACAACTTCTGAGATTGAGGTTGCTGGACCAGACCCAAGACCATGAGAGTCAACATGGAGAAGTTAACTTATAAATGTAAAGTAAAGTGATATAGCAAAGAAACATGCTAGAAATGTTCCAGATGTGGTTGTAAATGTGATGGTTTAAGTTTAGCAATTAAGCTAAACCATGCGTTCAGGTCAGGTGAGGGAAGAATTTATTCAAAGATATCCCAATCAATTTGTCATCCCAGCTGAATTGGAGATTCATCAATTGATTACTGCATTGACAGCGAAACATTAAAAACAATGGGCACAATAGTATCATTACCTTCAATAAGGGTGATGTTAATCATATACAAGACATCATTAGTTTCAATATTTTGTTAAACTAACAGCACATTAAAACCCAAAGATACAGTGTTGAAGTCGAAGCAGATACATTAAAAGTTAATTTCCCTAACGATTCTCAAATTATAAACACCATTTCTACAATGAAGAGTAAATATAAGAAGGATGGTATAATGCCCAATATGATAACAACAATAATATAATCCATATGGATTTCATGTCATATTTTCATTGATGTATAGTTTTGTTGTTGTTTTAAAAGTTGTGCAGAGCTTCATTTATCAATCGAAATAACCCTAAATCACTTGTTTCTGGAATGATCCCTTCCCCTGTTGGCCATCCTAGGCTTCATACTAATTGTGTATGCAGATTTTATTTATTGCAAATTTTATTTTTGTTTAGGGTATACCTGTGATTCCCCTGGGTGTGAGGAGAATTTTTCCAAATGGACACACTTCAGAAGGCACAAAAAGCTCTGTCATCCCCAGAGTGAGTGATAATGCTGTGGTCTAAAATTAATGTTCAGATTAAGTTTAGGCATTAGTGTCAGGTGACCTTGAATCAAAATTGCTACAAATTCTAAAGTAAAGAAGTCTTTACTGTCAGTTAATCTTAATTTTTGGTGAGCAAATTTTCAAAGAGTGTTAGTTTTGTCTAATTTGCTTAACATCTGTGTTCAAATCATTTAGATACATTTACGGATGATGCACTCCAAGTTTAGAACAAAATCAGTTATTCGTATTTCTTAATGATGTCTCGCATCAACTTGATTAAAGGTTTTTAAATTGTGATGTTCATATTTTCTCTCTAGATCTTTATCATTTCAAGAGTTTATTGATAAGAAAATTGTGCTCTGTATTCTAGGTTTAGTAGCATATCTTGTGTATAAGTGGCAAAAGAAGAAAGCTGTAATAAAAAATATATATTATAAATTGATTAAAAACACCAAGGAACAAATGCGACGTGAATCCAAAGATGATACAACTTCACTAAATAAAGTATTATTGATTTTTTAAATATCATTAAAGGGTCTGTAAACAAGACTTCACAAAGCTTTTTTGTTGTTTTTGTCAGAATTCTAGTAATCAAGGTTTTAGTTATAATTATGATGTTATATGAGTATAATTTTTAAACTACAAACGGTTTTTGTGAATGTTTCAAAGACATTTAAATGTTTTTTATTGATGTTCACTTGTTGGATTAAACTAATCAATTTTTAGTAAATGTAAGAAAATATTTTTCTTTGAAACCTGCATTTCAGAACATGAATGTGAAGTGTGTCAGCGAAGGTTTTTCACCAAATCCAACTTACGTGCTCATGCTGAGACGCACAAGACTGACCGTGAGATATTTTGCTGTCCACACGAAGGGTGTTCTTTTTCATACTTCCAGGAAAAGAACCTTCGGGCACACGTTACTAGCTATCATGAGAAGAAACGCCATGCGTGTACTATAGAGGGATGCGAAAGAACTTTTATTAGTAAGGTAAAGCTTTGTTGGAAACAGTTTTGAAATGAAGGCAGTAACTGTTTCATATTCACATTTCTTGATGAATATGAAATAGGGCAAATTTAAAGAATTCATTACGTTTCCCATGGATTATAATAATAAAAACAAAATGTAAATTCTAGACATAGAAATGTTCATCTAGTTATAATAAAAGTATACACATATGAAGTGAAAATGTGTCTGTGATGGAACAGGTATAAATATATTATTCACAGAAAACAAATAACCTTAGGTCTTTGTGTCTCATCTTCACTCCTTTAATAGAAAGAAAAAATCACATGTAAGTACACTCACATTAAATGTTCCCTTGCTGATCTCGCATTAATTTAACACATTCGCTGCCATGTGCCCCACTGGTGGGTCACATCCAGCTTTTACGTATGGACCGTGTCACACACTGGGTCACAGGCAATTATGTTTCAAAGCCAAATTTCTCTTGTGGCATATGAGTTTGGGACACTGTGAGTGCTCCTTATCACCTCTTGAATGTTTAATATTTTTTATACTTAATTTATTATGCAGCTGTGGATATGTTAAGGATTTTATCTACCATCCAATTTGTCAAAATCAAGGGACGATGGACCTGCCTTCAAAGTTTTGCCATTAAAGTTAAGACAATAGGCGAGCTCCCACAGTCAAATTTGATGAGTTTAATATTTGTTAGGTTAGTTTAAGCCATACTGCAGACTTATACCTACATATACTCCATAATTGTAAATATTACTTGAACCCGACCACTCTGTCTCGTGGGATGTCTGCAAGTTCCTTTAATAACCTGCTGCCAGTATTACTGGCAGGTGGCAACAGGATGATCCCGATCACACTGTGTTAGGGCTCAGCGGATGTTGGCAAGGTTATATATATAAATTTACACACACACATACATCAATTATTTTTAATCATAAATATTTTTTGTATTTCTTCAGGGAGGATTGAAGAAGCACATCAAACTACATGAATTGGGCCGTTCCTTTCCACCAAAGGTAACTTTAATTTAAAATGGGAGTCATTCTTATTTATCTCTCACAGAATAAATTACAAAATAGATTAATTGCTGATTTTTGGTTCAGTTTTAGTTTTCTTTTTTTCATGCTAAATAGAAAAATATTTTAATTCAGCAAAAATTAAGTAATTATTGTATATTTTATTTATGTAAAATTTCTGACTCAGCTCAATGAAATTTGGCAATCTTTTGTGTGATTCACCTGACTTAGATGAATAATAAAAGTGTTATTAAATGATCTTGCACAACCTACACAATTATAAAAACCCATGAGTGCCAATTTCAGTCAAGAAAAGAGGTTTAGACAAAGGAACTAGTTACTTAACTGCTATTTGTTGTCTTGTTGCATGCCCTTTTTAATACCCTGAAACTATTTAATCGTTTAAATATGATCTTCCAAAAAGTTTCATCTCTTGGAGTAAAATGTTTTATAACAATAAAAGTTTCTTTCTTGTAAAAACTACAATACCCAAGGTCGTGTCATTAATTTTGCTATTAACTATAGATGTTTAAAGTAGGTTTTTCTTTTAAATTTTATTACTTTAAATCTAAATTAATACATATATTGAACATATCATTACTGAATAAATTTGCATTATTTTATAGAACAGTAGAGTTCGACATGCCAAAACGTTTGTTACCAGGCAAGATATTGTAATCCAAGTTCTGAATTCAGTAAAGTTTATAAATTGTTTTTGAAGGGTACATATTTCTTTTATACGTATAACCATCTCAGTTATTGATATGTCATAACCATGTCTTTTGGAGACAACATAAAAATAAAACAACTTTTTAAGGCATAAATACTATGGGGTATTTTAGGTTTAAATTTATTCCAAAATTATCTTACCTCCTCTCACCCAAAGCTATCTCAATCGTGGACTGCCCTTTAAGCATTGTTAAAAATTTTTACAAACAGCACACCAGTTTATTATGCCCCATCAGTTTTGTGCCATTTCCGAACATGCTGTTCATGTGACTACCCTCCACCAATCATACTGCATCATCTGTACTAGGACAACAATCTCCCTCTGATATTCTAGAACAATCATCACTTTCTCAATTGGCACTCTAGTATAGATATGTGTTTTAAATTGCTCTCCATATGGCTACAAAATTTTGAGTGTGCTTGATTTCAAATTTATATTAGTTTCGACTTCTTCTGTTTCATTTCCATTGTTTCTTCTTGTTTGTTTTAGAAATATTTCTGCTTTCCGATTTTTTATTTTGTTCATATGAATTTGAGATTTAATATGGTGAAAGATGAAATTCCTGGGACAGTCAACAATGGTTCTGGCATGAGTTCCTAGGTCTCAGGGTCGACAATGTCTACTGGGGAAGTACAGTTCTCAGGGAGTTTCTGTCTTATGTTCGGCCAATGATTTCTTCCTTTCACATTATGATTTTTTTGTGAGTAAAGATATAACTACTTTGTGTAAATTATTTTCTACGTCACCTTCCACCTGTTACCATGCCTCCATGTAATCTCCTGGGTTACATATTGTTCTGTTTCCCAGTAGATCTGTGGTAAGTTTTTCAGCATGTATTCCTCACTCCCAGTAGGTATGCCCATGTTTAGCGAGTTTATGTTAGCTTCTGTGGATTGATCTAATTTCCTTATGTAATAATTTAGGTCTTTCATGCCTTCTCTGCTCAGTATTCGGTAAGTTAGATTTTTATAATTCTTTTACCATCTAAGTTACTTTAGTTTAAGTTTGCATTTAACATTTGATTATTATTTTGTTTTTGTTTAATTTTCTGTATATGTATGGGTTTTGCATGGTAGTTACTGTTTGGGTAATTGTAGCTTTGGCCAATTTTATGGGTGTGTTGATTCGTTATTTATATTTTCTTTCACTGTTTATGTTAGTTAGTTTGTGAGTTACTTTTTTCTTTACTACTAGTCCCATCTAACTAAGGATTAGATTTGAATCAAAATTTTGTTTTCGTTAACTGGGTGCCTTTTCATTCTCATGTTCTTCAGGTTAGGTTTTACTTTCTTGTCCTTATCTTCTAAGTTCCTTTAGTGCTTTTGTACTTGTTGCTTATTGTTATATAATACTATACTATACAAAGTAGCTGTCAAATGGTGGTATCCACTCAACCTGGGTTTTACTTCCATGTCACTGTTGTCCATTGAAAGATGGGAGATTGGAGACCCATCATAGACTTGTCTCGGTCGATCTCTTATCTGAAGCCACCTTGCTTCTCCATGGAGTCCTACCTCTCACTTCGTTTTTTTTTCCCTGGACTCTTGATGACCAAATCATCATGACAGATGGCTAATTTCATATTCCAACTGCTCTAGTGTCAAGTTGCTTTCTTCGGTTCATCAACGAGGGTTATGTCTTCCAGTTCCAGGCATTGCTGTTCAGTCCTTCTTCAACTCTGTGTTATGTCAAGTGGTATGCTCTTTTGCCCATCATTTTCACTCGTTATGTCTTCGGATTCTCCTTTTCATGGACGACTAACTCCTGCTTGCCTCTTCCCATGCCCTGTCAGTCAGTCACGCCTGCTTACTTCTTCGTGAAGCTAATCAGGTAGGGTTTTCTGATCCAGTTGGTGAAGTCCATTATTAAACCCACTCAATATGTTATTCCATTGGGGTTTTTTCTTCAATTCCCATCATCATCTGGCCTAACCTTCTCCACTTTGGCTCAGGAATATGGAGTGGACAGTCTATGGAGAGGGTTCTCTCTCTTTTGGGGATGTGGGCTTCCTTGGAACCTCTCATTCCTTTAGGTCGACTCACATGCATTCCTTTCAGTGGATGCTTCTTGACCAATGGAACTTCTCCCACAATCCCTTGGACCATCCCCTTATCCTTCCAACTGGAAACAGGCCTGAACTTGCTTGGTGGCTTGACAGGGAACTGAGCATGATGGGGGTTCCCATACCTCCACCTTGTCCTGAGTCTCATCTGTTTACCAATGCTTCTTTGGTGGGTTGGAGGCTTTCCTTGAATCTCAAGAGATTTCAGGTCGATGGTTCGTTAAGGAGGCTACTCTCCATTTTCAACTTCCTGGAACTTTAGGCAGTTTGTTGGATTCTGTATCATTTCCTCCCGCCTCTGAGGGGGCAGGTGGTTATGATTCATTCTGACTATTCCACTGTCGTTGGCTATATCACCAAGCAAGGGGGAACCAAATCCAGATCTCTCTGTTTTCAGACTCTGGCTTTTCTTCACTGGGCCCATAACCCAGTGATGGTGATCTTGCCATGTTACATTTCTGGCATTATGAATATGGTTGCCAATCGCTTATCTTGACCCAACCAAGTTCTCCCAGTAGAGTACTCACTTCTTCCACTGGTATATCAGGAGGTGTGTTCTCAACTGTGAATTATATAGATGTGTTTGCCACTCACTGAAATGGCAAAATCCTTTCTTTTGGGTTCTGGTTCCTCACCCTTCATCTTTGGAAGTAGATGCATTCAGTCAAGATTGGAGGAGTCTTCATCCATATGCCAACCCTTCGATCAGCCTCTTCTCCAGATTCTTTTCCCTTATTCAGACCAGTCTTTGTCATATCCTACTAATAGCTTGGTATTGGCCTTTTCAGACGTGGTTCCCTCTGCTCTGGCCCTTACTGGAACATCATCCCCTGCCCTTACCTCTGTCCCAGTTTCTCCCCCGACAACCACAATTCATCTTGATGTCACCAAACTCCATTTTACATGTGTTTTTTGTCCAGCCTTTTGCCTCAGGATCTCACCCCTTGTGTAGCATCTTTCCCATTCCATTTGACTTTCCTCCTTGTCTGTGTGCCAGAGAAAGTGGTCTACCTTCAGGTTCTCTCCTATTTCCTTACTTTCCATTTACCATCTGTACTTCCATTTGGTTCCAGATAGACTTCTTTGTCTAGTTCATTCCCTGAGATGTTTTGTAACTCATGGCTCATACTGCCTCCTTTCATGTTATCATTCCCATCTATTTGTTCCAAGAATTCCCTCTGTGTTCCATGATCTGTCCCCTATTGCACACGCTGATTGGGTTTGTCAACTCATACAACTGTCCATGAAAGGTCGCCATATGCGCAATGTTTCTTCCCACCCATTTCATCATCTAACTATGTCTTTAGCTGCTTGCCTTCACCAGCCTCTGGAGGAGATTGTTTAGGCTGGGATGTGGACAACACCCAATACATTCATTGCACATTATCTGCATAACCTGGGTGTGTTTTCCTCAGGCAGGTAATGTCTTCCTCCTGTGGCAATTTTACACACGTCTGTTCGCCTTTGACTGGGGTAAGTCGAGATATTACTTTTTTATATATTTTTAGATGATACATATCATATTTCATGATTCCACCTGGTGGCAGATGTTGCACTAGGTATGAATAAAGCACAACTGTGGGTATAGCACTACTTCTGGAACAGGTATGCTCTTCACCCAGTAATTAACACATGAACAAAAAGAGGGTGGAACTGAATTGGCAGGCACCAATGTATTCAGGAAAGAGACAGCACCAAATCAGTGTAAAAGTGCTGTATTACCATGACTTGAATATATATATGCCAAGTGTAGTGCCTTGGGTTACATCTGAGTATGTTAAGTGCAGACCTCTTGGGCAAAACATCCAGTGGAAACACCTTGTATAAAATAGTGTAATCAACAAGTGCAGTCCTCTTGGACAAAAAACACCCGGGGAAGCACCTTGGATATGAAATGTATGAGTGTGATCGTTAGGGTTTTCATAACCAGCCCATTATTAACATACATGTCATACTTCATCCACACATGTAACAGGCTGTAGTACCAACATAGTGATAGTGAGCCATAGTATGGTGCCAGAGAAAAATGAAATAACTAGATGTTACTAGGGCTGAAAGACCATGAACTGTATATGAATTGGCCAAGTGCACTCCATTTGGCCAAAAAACATCCAGGGGAAGTGCCTTGGGATATGTCAGATTATGCCAAGTGAGGTCCATCTGTGCAAAAAACATCCAGGGGAAGCAACTTGGATACATAATATTTATTATTTTGGCCAAGTGTGATCTGCCTGGGCAAAAACATCCAGGGGAAGGACCTTGGGATACATCAGATTGTGCCAACTGTGATCCATCCTGGCAAAAAATATTCAGTGGAAGTTCCTTGCATAAGATACAGAGATCAACAAGTACAGTCTGCCCGGGCAACACCCAAGAGGTAGTGCCTTGGATACGTAGGATTAGCCCCAATGTAGTTAACCCAGGCAAAAAACATCCAAGGGAAGTGCCTTGGGTTATGTCAGGTTATGCCAAGTATGGTCTATCTGGGCAGAAAACATTTAGTAGAAGCACCATGCACAAGTGCCATCTGCCCCAGCAAAAACATCCAGGGAAAACACCCTGGATACTGAATATTATTGTATAATTCATTGTTCAGAACTGTAATTATTATAACAACAATAGCCCTCTTCTCAAGTGGGTACAAATGGGCTAGAAAGCTTTGTTTGTCAAAATCCACTCAGGATGAAACCTCCATGGTCTACCACTCCAGCGACTGAGAATTGGAAGTGGTAATGACTTCTGTGCTCCACTAGGAAGAGAAGGGGGAATACATATTGGGGAGTTCATAGGAACAACACACCAGAGACAGTACAATGGGTGTCTGCAATTCCATATTTTGAAAAGCAGATAGACCCTGATTGTGGGAATCACAGGTAAGTACGGATGGGCAGAAATCCCCATCTGCTTTACTCATGAGTGATAGTTCTTTATAAATGAAACTTGTAACTTTTAGCAAAATGAATATAGATACATATACCATCGGACCAGCTGCCAGTGGTCTTACAGAAATACCCCATCTCAACAGCAAGCATTATATATTCTTGCACACTTGTTTTTTCAGTGAGGTCACTTTCTGCTCGATTGGCTATTGATGCACCTTCACCAGCCCCTCCACCTATGCAATGTGGGATTCTAGCTTTGGGTAAGAGGAGGTAAGACCATTTCAGAAGTTAACATTTTCTTACACTGAAAATGCATTTCTGGTAGGTTCTTACCTCCATTCACTCAGGATTGTTCTAGAATAGTAGAGAGAGCTAGATGCACTAGTATAGATGGCACAGGATGTTTGGTGGAGGGCAGTCACACGATCAGCACATGTTCTGAAATGGCACGAAACTGTTTGGGTATAAAAGACTGGTGTGCTATTAGCGAAAAATTTTAAAAATGCTTAGAGGGCAGTCCAGGATCAAGATAGCTTTGTGTGATGGAGGTAAGTACCTATCGGACATACATTTTCAGTGTAAGAAAAAGTTAACTTTCAGATTCCAAGTGTCAACTACTCTAGAAGTAATTATGAAGTGTATTGTATACAATAACATAAAAAATGTATTTTGTTGACTCAACAGATGTGTAAAAACATCTTAGAATATCTGATTTTCTTTTTTTCATAGTTAATTTTCTTTCAGAAACTGCTTACAAAGTTTTATTGGATTAAATCAGTTAGTATATACGTTTGATAATTTTGTGTGAGGTACTGTAGTGATTAAAGAAATCTTCAGTTTAAGTGAAATTAATACTACCTTGTTAGACTCTCTGTTAAACATAAACTGTGTAAGTGTCAAAGTTGTTGTATCATCATTTGGCATTTGCCAATTATTCAACACTTTTTTTAATATTCTGTACATTTTTCTTGTTTTTAGAATCGAAATAAAAGAAAAAAAAGATTGGAAAAAAGAAGAAAACTTTGGCATCTATTCTATCTGGATACACAGTCGTTGAGGAGGAAGACGAATGACTTAGTGTTCCAAACACTTCAATAACTGAACAGCTTCAAGTTTCTTCACATAGTGTTCATGAGCAGCATCACAATAATGAGCACTATTAAATGAAAAGTTGCTGATGCCAGATGACCAACTTGTTTTGTTTGTGACCATTAACAGAAGTTGCTCAATAAATACATGCAGTTGGCAAGATGGAGGGGCTACCATTTATAATTTCCCATCTAATGGTACTTATTAATGTATGTTATGATAAAGACAAGACGTCAAATAACTATTTTTTCTTTTGTTGTCAAATTCTTACAAAGAATCACATTTTGTTAAAGGGTAACTCGAAATTTGTTCAACTATCGTGATATCTTGTGTAAATAGTAATTCTAGTACCAGGTAAATTCCAGCCTATAATATAATATTGGTGTGATAATTCGGCTATAATGTCCACATTATTTTATATACATTTACATAACTTAAGACATTTGTTAAAATTTCAGATTTATAAAATGACTTATTTCTTGTGAACGAGTCTTGTGTTAGCTCAACAGACATTAACAAATACAAATTTACATTATTTTCTCTGAAACAATGAATACCAATTTTGTCCGCCTCAGTTTATAACACTCACATAAAAAAAAAACACAAACAGGCTGGGAAACTTGACGTTTTCTATCATATTTATAAATGAATTGTTCATGCTCTTTTCAATTTTTTTTTCTGATAATGAAATATATTCGGATGTTAACTTTCAATAAAACTACTAGAAGTGTTAATGGATTAACTGACCTGTTGTCATGTGAACGAAGGCATAATGTACTATGTATTATGTACATAATCGGTCAACACTGTACTGAGCAATACCTTGGTACATTGTTGCCTGATGAAGTGTCTGGTAAAAAGGCCGAAAGCTCGCAAATAAAAGTATTTGAACGTAAAGTACGTGGATAATTAATTCTACATAATCATTGAGTTCCCGTTCTGATGATGACTTTTTGAGCATTAAAACACGTACTGCAATGAACACTGTATAAGATGGCATAATTCAGTAAATACATGAAAATTATTATAAAATACAGACGTAACATTGATTAATGACGATAATATGAAACTTTAGAGAAGGTACTTGTGACGATTTATGTGAAGTTGATAAATGATGACGTTTCTCTTGATATTTCTTGACCAAAATACAGATATTATTTTTGCGTCTATACTGACTTTAAAACCCTGAAGATAATATTCCTTAGCATACGCACAATGACAAAAGATTAACTTAATTTTTCTCAGTAACTATAAAAACTAACAAAAATAAAAGTAGGAAAACTTGTTTTGAAATAGTAGAATAATTGCTTCAATTTTTTAAATTAAATTTACTTAGGGAATCTGAGCCATCAGGGTAAATGAAACTTTGACTATACAACTTTCGTGATCAGGTAAAGTATGTGCTTCTATTTATTATCGTTTCCTGAAGACCATAATAAGTATACACACACTTGTAATTGGTTGTTTTCCTAAAATGATCATGGCCTCCATGATTACGGTATTTCATTTGTAACTTTACAAAATAGACCCATTTTATATTTGTGACCTTCCTGCTATTCTTACTATTTTGAATATATATATATATATATATATTGCGTTCTATTTTATTCTATTAGAATGTTTAGACTGTAACTAGCTGTTACTCATGTCCAGACAATTATTCCAACGAACACTTCAACTCTATTATACATATATAAAGGCATTAAGTTTGAGGAAGCTAGAAAAGGGGGGGGGATAAGAGGTAATTTTTTGTAATGTTACTATATAGTGTCGGTCATTACTATAATACAGCTATTCCCGATTTCTGTTACCCTTTCAAGATACAGTTGATAGTTTGTTTATAAAGTTATAGGTAAACACTTGTGAAAAACGTAGTTCCTAGTTTGAGAATTACTTCATTTTTGTAACAGTAAATTGCAAATAGATAAATGATGAACACGTTTCATAAAACAACAA